AAATAAAAACAACAAGGGACGTGTCATCAAATACCAATTCGTACCTTCTCAGTAATCCCCAAACCCACAAAATCATAATCAGTGTAACAGCAACCAGACGTGTTAAAAAATAAAAAAGTTAACTTCGAGATGGGGACAGACACGTCCAAAACCACTGAGCTCTGTATACCTTCGAATTTGCACTTCGAACGTCGTCCTTGGTAACAAGAGAAGGGGGTGAGGTAGCTCAATTTAAAACAGTTGGTGAGTATTAATGGTTCGGACTTGGAACGAGACGAGACGTACGAAATTTAATCTTGCGCGCAAAAAGTATTGAATAGGGACAAAAAGCACTGGTGGGTGATAAATGGATCGCCTGCCCGATCATGGGCGCCTGGTACTTTTAGTCTGCTGGCAAGTGAAACCTTCTTGTCAGGTTAATTCAGTGTTGGATTTGTTTTATATCGTAATCCAATTACAATGATATCTTAATTTTGATTATAATAATAACAGAATAATAACCTTCTTGACTGTTAATAAAGATGGTAGATAGAGGTATTGTCAACAGTCGACGTCATGGTGAAGTCAATGCAAGATTTGATATGTCCACAATTCTTTGGTAATGTTCCGTTTGTGAGTATGGATGGACAAGAAGATTGCGAGACAAATTTGGCAATTTTTTTTTATTAATTTGTTTTACGGCTCTGGATACAAGTTCATTTTAGCCCAACTTAAAATTTACAAAAAAATAAAAATAATTTCTATAAAAACTTTTGCACTTTTTATTTACTATATTTATTAAACACAATGAACGAAGCTTTACAAATCTATGCCTTGATTACTTTTAATATTCCATGAGAACCGATGACTACAGAAATATCTACCCACATTTCACCCGAGCGAAGCCGGGTTTTCATCTAGTAATATTATAAACGCGAAAGTTTGTGAGTATGGATGGAAGTTTGTTACTCTTTCACGTAAAAACTACGGAACAGATTGTGATGAAACTTTACAGTAATATAGCTTATACATACAAATTACACGTGGATATAGCTACAGACTAACAAGCAATCATACTCATGCATTCAAATGTTTGCACCGTATAATGGGAATCGAACCCTCGGCTATCGGAAGTAAGGTTTGCTAATCCGCGACCACCAAAACCACCGTGTGTAAGTATTTAAGTGTAATGTAATGTAAAAATGTATATATACACATAATTTATATATATTATCTGTATAGATACATTCAATAACCACAGATAAACAAATAATATCTATGGTAATAATTTATACAGTTTCAGAGATAGAATATTCAGTTTCATAATGTCTTGATAAATGACTATCAATTCTGTAGCGATTCTGTTCAGGTCGGTCGTATGCTTTGAACCGGAAACTAGATAAGCGAATTGCTTTTGCATTTTCTTAATGAAAGATATAAACATAGTATCAAGATCTGAACCGATTGTAATGGAATTAAATGTAAAGATATGTTGCATAAGGAGGGTGGGCAGAAGCCGTCATCTGCTTCAAAACAAGCATAGAATAGAATAGAATAGAAAATCATTTATTCAAATAAACTTACATTGAAGCACTTTTGAATAGTCATTACATTTTTTAATCTACCGCTCGTTCGGAAAGCTGTCACATCACAAGAAGAACGAGCAAGGAACTTGCGTGTTGCTCTTTTAAATAATTATAGATATATATATATAACATAGAAAGGCACGGGTATCTGCTATAATACAAAATTGTCAGAGGGGTCTGTAGAATTGTAAAAAAATACAAAACGTCTCTTTCTGTCTTTTCTTTCTTTACTATAATTGTTCGACAGTTCTAATTCCAGTGGTCGTCCATAATTTAAATAAATATATTGTAATTAGTAAATTTGTTATGGTTATTCTTTACATTCAATATGACTATAGACAAATAATGTTAATTTATTTTCAATTTGACCACAGACTTACATAGTATAAAATAAAGTCGCTGTCGCTGTCTGTCGGTGCCTATGTAGGTATGTTTAAATTTTTGAAACTACGTAACGGATTTTGAAGCGGTTTTTTAATAGATGGAGTGATTCAAGAGAAAGGTTTATATGTATAATACATGTACACGCGGGCGAAGCTGAGGCGAGTAGCTAGCTAACAATAAATAAAAGAGTACAAATGCGTGTGTCAAAGACGTGTGTAATGTGTCTTAATGTGTGTAGTATTTTTTATTATTGATGTAATGTATTTTTTACGCATAATTAAAAAAAATACCAAATTGCATTCCTTCTCTATATGTACAACTAGCTGATTCGCGCGACTTCGTCTGCATCACACTTGTCATTAATGTCGTCCAATTTACATAATATATTTTTAAATATTTATAGTCTATATGTTATTCGGATGTAAAAACTTTCGTCCATTTTATTATCATGTAAATATTTATTTATAAACATGTATAAAAAAATTACCCATAAGGGGGATGAAAGTAGTATCATCCCCCTTAAGGGTAATATTTTTAAAAACTTAGAATGTCATATTAATCATTTTTAATCAACAGCCCAAAAATAAGTTTCAAGCTTTTAGCTTCAAAAATGACGATTCTTCCATACCATCTTTCATCCCCACTTTCAACCTCTTACAACCCTTTTTTCGCATTCAAAAGTAGCCTGTGTCCTTTCTGTCATTTAAATCGGTTTAGTAGTTTTAACGTGACAGCGAGACTGACAGAGTTACTTTCGCATTTATAATATTAGTAAGAATAAGATTACCAAATTTCAAACTCCTGAGTATGCGCAATTCTCGTAAAAAGCAGTACAAAGTTTTTGCTTCACATATTAATAGAGTTCAAAAGAACAAATCTATTTTCGTAACCGTTCACTTTTCACTAGTAATCTCCTTAAAAATTGCCACCCATTCCCACAGGGGTGGCACAACCCTAAATCAATCACGAGCCCGTAAGGCGTGGATCTATCCATCATAAACCCGTGGTATCATTATACCACAATTGTGGAACAAGGGTTGTGCTTCATCGTTTGCTTGACACGTGTGTATTGTTTGAACCAACTAAATTATAGTATTAAATATGCTTCGATGCTTCTCTGTGTAGTGATTTTGGTTTATTATCGTGGTTTTTGTTGTAAACAGAGTTGTAATTGACTAGTTAACCAGCGCAGCTTCGTCTACGTTTTCATTGTTGCTCGTAGGCGTAGCATGATGTTAAGCCTATAGGTATCCTTGATAAAATGAACTATTCAACACTAAAATATATCACTAGAGCAGGACAATTTCATTATTAACCATAAAAACTCCAAAAAGGCACTACGGTTTTCATTTAAAATACAACAAAGGGTACACAACGATGATAACCCAGATCAATTCACACAGCGCTACCTAGTCCCAGGCTAAGCAGAGTCTGTGTTATGGGTACTAGACTAATACGAACAACTAATAGAAATGGATAATAAATAAGTAAAAGTACAATAATAGTAATAACCCTGGACAATCCACAAAGCGCCATATAGTCCCAAGACACAGACAAAATAATATTCCCAAGGTAAGCTAAGCTTGTGTTATGAGTACTAAAAAACTAGTGAGTACTTTTTATTTTGTAAATACATATACTATACATAAAATAACATCCAAACCAATACAGATAACCATATTCATGAATACAAAACGAGCATCGGAAGTGAAGCAATGTGCTAAACTGCTAGACCACCGAAGCTTCATCAAAAAGAACTGATCCGCAAATTAGGACAGTCTACGTGTCATACGAAATAATATATCCGAGTCCCTTCGAGTTATTAATACCCAGTGTTGCATAAGTAATGTATAACACCGCCGTAATAAGTACGGAGGCGATTTGATCCCACAAAGCGAATGCCTAATCCCCTACAAAGTGGGGAAACATATAACTTATTTCTGGCTTGCTATATTTTATTTACTTTCTACAGAGGGACTTATAAAGTCCGTTCAGGCAGAGTTCAAACATAGTGGTGTGTCTACTTTAGAAACATAGATTAATTTTATTTGTTTAATCTATTCTAATTTTTTTAAAAAGTTTGTGAGATTGTAGGTGGTAATCTGTGAATCTACTGTAGCTATTTGTAAAATTCTTTTAACAAAGAAAAGCCACGTTATTTGCGAGTGTTACAGGCTATATAATATCACCCTATGACCAATAAGAGCGGAACTGCAAAGAATATTTGTAAAAGTAGGGAAAATATGACACAGATCAAGTTTCGAGAGTCTGCAATTGAATGATGGTACGGCACCTCCGCCTGCGCTAACGGTTTACCACGGCGGAGCATCAGTGGAGGACGATTAGATGAACATAGGACTAGGTCAGTTAGACCGTCGTGGCAAATTCACCAGAATTTATAACAACGGTTTCCAGGGGGAACGTTAAAATACCAATTCAATGACACTGGATTGAGCCTCTCTTTAAGTAATTGTCATGACCCCTGTAGTAGGTGAGACTAAGGTACCCAGATAGACGATTTACAAAGTCTACTTCTTAATATTACAGTAATTTGCAGTAATAAATTCAAATCTGTGAAGATATTAATTTCTGCGTCCTTAAGTCGCCACTAGTCGCTACTTATTTAACACTCCACTGGCAATATTAGTTGGGGTGCTTTGTGGGATTACTTAAAGCTGACGCACTGAGCACATCATTAGAAATATTAATACCGTAATTGTTAGCGTCATATTCTTCAATTTTAAATACGTGTCAATCATATTTTTGTGTTTGTAGTGGTTATTTTTATAGTCTCGTCGAGCCTAGTTAGCGAACTCTAAATTGCTTCAGACCTTTTTGAGAAATAGCCCAAACTCCTTATAGCAATGTGGAAGATGATATGGTAATAAAGGGAGTAAATAATGAGATGACTACAGACAGGGATGGAATTGAAGAGAAAACATATTAGGCAGACCTCAACTGAATGGGATAAGGAAGAAGCAGATGATGATGAGCCCAAACCGCTTAATAAAACATAAGAATACATTATTTTCGAATAAAAAATTATTACTGATAATGATAACATTTTATACACAAATACAAGCCAAGACACAAATTAATTCTCCACATTATTAGCATCTTCCTCAGTCACATTCCACAAGTATCGGTTTCTTAATTCGACTCGTCTCGATTCGTCTATTCGATCAAGAGTTTGATCCGGTATAGAATCTAAGTCTTCATCGAGCAGTGACGTCGATGAGAGAAGTGTAGAGTCGGTGATATTGATGGTATCACCGGCATCACCGCTTTCAGGTTGGTTCCTGGCTGTACCCTGAGTCTGTAAGAGATGTTTATTTAATTATAATTTTATCATACTAATATTATAAATATTTCCACGTTTGTGAGTATTGATGAATGAATGTTTGTTACTCTTAGTCGCAAAAACTATTGAATGAATTTTAATAAAACTTTACAATAATATAGCTTATACACCAAGATAACATATAGGCAAAAAATTTAATGCTGCTGAAACAGTCGGTACAGCTAGTAAAATATACCCTGGACAATTCACACAGTGCCATCTAGACTCGAACTAAGGAGGGCTAAAAATCTATATCTTTCAAGAGATTAAATTACTGTTTATAGACGAAAAAATTTATAAAATTCGTTCAGTTCATTTTCAGAAGAATGTACAAGCAAATAGAAGATCGGAAATAAATTTACTAGATGCCGTAAGTCAATCATCGTCACGAGAGAAATAATTTAATAAAATAATATTAAAAAAAATAATAGTCACAATTCTTACATCGACTATGGCCATGTGCAGTATTGGAACTTCTAGTTTCAGAGGCTGGATCTCTTGTGGCTCGTCATCCAAATAGGAATACTCGGCGGGTACCTGGCAATTTATCTATAAGTAAAAACTGCCGTCGATTGTTGAAGATAATAGAAAAATATATTATAATGAAGTACCTAGGTAGTTATGTCATGGGGCACTTGTCCCAACTTGTTACCTGATCACAAGTGGTAAGCGTTGTCTATATACATAAATGAACAAGATCTACGTGATTTATTTGGGTATAAAAATAGATAAGAACCTATTTTCGGACCTACTGAGTATGCAATTTCATGAAAATAAGTCGTGGTATGGCTACTAACACGAGAATTATATATATTAGAGTAGCTGTGCCCGCAACGTTGTCCGCATGGAATAGTGACCTTGACCAAATAATGAAATAATATTTAATAATGTAACCCTAAAAACAAATAAAAATGTTTAAGTTTACTAGATTCAAAAATGATCAATTTCCATAAAAACTTTATCCCTTATTTTCTTCTACTTTCATCTCTCGTTTCAACACTTTTTTCGCATTAAAAACTAGCCCATGTCCTTTCGCAGGGTCTAGACTATATGCATATCAAACTTCATTTAAATTGGTTCAGTAGTTTTGGTGTAAAAGCGAGACAGAAAGACAGTTAAAGTTACTTACGCATTTATAAGGAACTACTAATGTCCATATAAATGCGTAAGTAACTTTAGGAAATAAGGATTTGTCAGTTCACAATCATGTGTTACATCGTCTCAACTGACAACATCGTATTATTATTCCGCAACAGGTGATAATAAGGAAGGAAAGACATTACCCTCCGTAGGCGCCATTTCTCAAGAAACTCATTGGTCTGACGCAGCGCCTCCTTGCTCTGATGAAGTAGTTCATCAAGTCTATCGTGACCGCGGTTTTGCTTGTATTTGTTTAGACACTGCAAAGTTGTTCATTATGAAAGACTAGTGATCATCCCAGGCTTCGCTCGATGGATTTATTGTATGATTGTCTAATTCTTTTAGTTTTATGTTAATAATTTTAAAATTAAGTACAATGTTATTTGCAGATAATATTAGTAAGATGCCGTCGGTGGAGTAGCTGCTTAGCACACCGTTTTACTTTCGATGGTCGCGGGTAATACAATAATTTATTTTCTTGAGTATTTGACTCAGTTTTTTCTATTTGTATTATGTATGGATTTATGAAAAACACGTATCTAAGTATTTAACTCAATACCTTCAAGCTCTTCATAATTTAGGACCAGATGATGTTGTGCGTAATGCCCTGGATTATTATTTATTATTTTGTAAATGTTCTATAGGTTATTAGACTTTAGGTTAAGAATTATATTGTGAAATAAACATATTTTCAATTTATTAATTATAAATAAACAAACAGAAAATAATTTCATGTACGTTAAAAAGTATATTGTGATACATGTGTTACATCTCATGATTTGCATTACTAAGTCTAAGCTGTCATGACTGCGTATGCTGAAATTTTATTTATATATCCCTTCAGACAGGAACGCATCTTGTAAATGAGGAAGCTGATGACAATTGCATGAAAAAGAAAGAGATTTTAGTGCTATATCTCTTTAGAAAGGAACGCATCTTGTAAATGAGGAAGCTGATGACAATTGCATGAAAAAGAAAGAGATTTTAGTGCTATATCTCTTTAGATAGGAACGCATCTTGTAAATGAGGAAGCTGATGACAATTGCATGAAAAAGAAAGAGATTTTAGTGCTATATCTCTTTAGATAGGAACGCATCTTGTAAATGAGGAAGCTGATGACAATTGCATGAAAAAGAAAGAGATTTTAGTGCTATATCTCTTTAGAAAGGAACGCATCTTGCAAATAAAGAAGCTGTTGACAATTACGTGAAAAAGAGGGAACATTAAAGAAAACTATGTTTAACAGAACTTACTGCTATAGTCAGAGTTAAAACTATAATTTCAGTAAACAAAACTGGTAGACTGATAGGATTCTCGCTTATTACAGCAGCCTGCTTCACTTCCTCCCTTATAGATCTTTTAACGAAACATGCAAACTTGCAGAACATCTTCTGGGATATTTCAACCAGCCCATTACCAAGTATGTAATCAATTAAAATAAGACTTAATACAATAACGCCATAAAGTACAGTATTGCAAGCCTGAAGAAACATCTTGGGTCCCTATATATTGTATGAAGAATGGTTTTTTATGTTATTTTACATTGTTTTCGACACTGATAATTTTAATGTGATTATCTGAACTGACAACGTCTTTATATTTTGACGTTAATTTTCTTGCAAATAACTATGTTAAGAAAAAAGTATTATATAAACAGTTTGTTATATATTTCACTAGCGACCAATCCCGGCTTCTCTTTGATTTGTTCCGGGTTTGTTGATTTACCCATGTGTCGTCATCATCATCTTCATTTCAGTCCGGAAGACGTCCACTGCTGAACATAGGTCTCCCCCAAAGATGATCACATAGATCGGTCTTGCACTGCTCGCATCCAATGCCTTGACCAAATCGTAGGTACCTATGTGTATTTTGACAGCATGGTCTATGAGCAATTGGACTCTAGTCCTGAGAAATGTAGTCACAATGTAATATATATATAATGATTATAATATTTTAATAAACATACATTTGCATCCAACACCCTTCCACACTTACATACATACATACACACACACACACACACACCCACACAGTCTTTTACAGTAGAAACAAATTCTTAATATAATAATAAATAACCCTAGAAGAGTGTGATCTCCTATCACAAGTATTTAATTATGCTTACATACAAAATATGTGATTGTTGATATGTAAAAAAAAAATTTGTACAACATCTATGTTAATGAAATAAATTTATTATTATTATAAGATATCTCCGGACAATTCACACAGCGTCATCTAGACCCTTTAACTAGGGTAACAGAGCATGTGTACTAGGCAACTGATACAAATATTTTTATATAATTTTTTTAATACATACATAATATATATAGAAGACATCCAGACCAATACAAACAATAGTCATGAATACAATTGTTTATACCGTGCGAGGAATCGAACCCGCGACCATTGGAAGTCGGGCAGTAGAGTAGAGACGAATAAAATACTTCGAAAAAAAATTCCGTTTTCATTATAACGTGATAAAACTGTTATCTTCTTACTTCTATGATAATTATCACGATAACAACTAAAGCTTTTATCATTGTGACTATTGCTATGGTAAAACCTCTTTCGTTAATTGTTTTTATGGTTTCTATGGAAACTGCTATTGTCATGGCGACCAAGTTAACATTGGCATTCTGTTGACCGGTTTAGTGAACACAAAGATCTTAATCCTGATTGTTATCAAATAATATATATATTTTTTTATATTTAATATTAAAATTTTAAAAATAAACTAAAATGGTAAGTAATATTTCAACATGTATTTATTTATTTATATTAACAGTGTAAAGTTTTTTTATAAATATATTAATGAACATATATATTTATGTTTATTGCGTACTCTTTTTTTATTTTTACTCTCTCTTACTCTTACTTTTGTGTCATTTAGTTTTATTGTTATTTACTATTTTTATTATTTACTGTATTTGGTGTAATAATAATAATAATAATCTCAGGACAATTCACACAGCGCCATCTAGACCCAAATTAAGCTAGCTAAAGCTTGTGTTATGGGTACTAGACAACTGATACAAATACTTAGATTTTTTTTACATAACAGTCATACTCATGAATATAAATGTTTGTGCTGTGCGAGGAATCGAACCTGCGACCATCGGACGTAAAGCGGTGTGCTAAACCGCTAGACCACCGAGGTCGTCAAATGAAGTGTATAAGTAAATAAACATTTTTTATACTTTACAGCCCCCCAAAGGAGGAAAGGGAGGCGGGAAGAAAGCGCCAGGTATTATCTTTTATATAACTATATATAATTTGTTAAAAATATTTCAAATTCCTTTTTTTATATGATTGGAATCACAAATAAGTTGACAGCTCATCTGATGGTAAATGGTAACCGTCGCCTATGTACATGAACAGCACTACGTATATCACGTTATCATGTGGCATCATAGTAATATGAGTTGCTTGGTAATAGTGTTATGTGTGTTATATATCGATTGTTAAATATTTAATTTTCCAATAAAAGTAAAATAAATAATAAATAAACACTTTTATAATTTCAGCCATTGTCATCGATGGAGTGGACACGTCTGAGATGACTCGAGAAAAACTCGAGCAATTTACGTTACGAGTAAAAGAGGAATTAGATAAGGAAAGAGAGGAAAGAAATTATTTCCAATTGGAGAGGGACAAAATTCGTACTTTCTGGGAGATCACAAGGCAACAGCTTGATGAAGCCAAAGCGGAATTAAGAAACAGAGAAAGAGCAACCGAGGAGGCTCAAGAAGAGAATGAAGCACTGTTGGAAACTGAAAAGCAGAAAATAAAGCATCTGAAATATGAGCAACAAGCCGCTGCAGCTGCTTTACGGGCTGAAAATTTAGTTGCACTTAAAGCGGCTAAAGAAGAACACACTGAACAAGAATTGGAATTATTGAATGACAAAAGGGCACTAAGACAAGAAATGAGAGAGAAAATACTAGCTTCCCAAGATGAACTAAGAAGAGCTAAGCTTATTCATGCAGAAGAATTATCGAAAACGAGAGAAGTATTTCAAGAGCGAGCAAGGCAAATAGAAGAAAAAGCAGATAAGAAACTTCATGAGACTAAAATTGAGTTAACTGTGAAGCACAGAACTGAAATAGCGGAAGTCGAAGAAAGAAAAAATAAACAATTGTCTGAATTAATTGCTCATCATGAAAGGGCTTTTGCTGATTTGAAAAATTATTACAATGATATAACTTTAAATAATTTAGGTAGGAGCTGGATGTACTGTCTAAACTTATTAATGCCTGAGTATGACAGTGAGTATGACAATAGTAATAATATTTATTTATAATTTAACAGGTTTGATAAGCAGTTTGAAACAGCAAATGGAAGAAATGCAAAAGATAAAAGAACGAGCAGAGAAGGTAGCTAGAGATGCAGTTGCAGAAACAAAGAGTCTGCGGGAGCCTCTAGAAGCTGCTATCATCGATAACAAAGAACTGAAACGTCAGATGTCTAACTATGATAGAGATAAGGCGGCTCTAGCTGTAAGTACTATTAAAAGTTATTAAACTTGATAAACACTAAATATGTTTATTAATTAGCTTATATTTTTTATTATTAATTATAGTGATAAACAAACTGACGGCCCACTTGTGGTAACCGTCGCCCATTATAAACACTATTATCTAGTCACATCTATGATACCGCTCATTCAGGCGATGATATTCCGGAGTACTAATACATCACGGTTTATTAGCACACTGCTAAGAATCGAACCCGAGATCATCAGGAGTACCTGATAGTACTGGGATTTCTCACACGGTACAAACATTCGTATTCAATACTATGATTGTTTGAATTGGTCTGGGTGTGTTCAATGTATATTATATATCTATTTACAAAAAAAGTATCTCAGTATACTTATGAGTTGTCTTAACACAAGCTGTACTTAAATTAACTCTAGATAGCGTTATGTGAATTGTCCAGGGATATTATATTATGTTCATATTGTGACAGGCAAAAACGAAGCAACTAACATCACTTGAAAAGCAATTCGAAGTACTGAAGTGGGAGTATGAAGTGCTCCAAGTGCGGTTCGACCGAGTAGTGGCGGAGAGGGACGAACTGAAGACGAGGTTCTCCAGAGCGGTCCTGGAGGTGCAGCAGAAGGCATCCCTGAAGACGGCGTTATTGGAAGCGAAGTTGAAGAATTTAGAAAACAGAGATTTGGGGCCGAGGGAAATCCATGTTAGTATCTTTTTTTCTTAAGTTTTTAAGGGATGAAAATAAAATAGCCTTACCGATTGTATGTAAAGATAATAAAGATTTACCAATTTAATTTATATTAATTTTTACTATTGATTTATAATTTTGTAACTGACAAGTTACATGTAACATGTTTTACATGGCAAATAAATAAATCTGAAAAAAAAAATCTAGTTAGCGCAATTGAACTATAGGCAGTTAGTCTTTGTTTTTGTGAAATTTGTATATAAAGAAAAGAAAAGAAAAGAAAGTATATATACATACTGCTGAATCAAAATAGATTTTATTTATTCTGCCACATCATTATTAAACACCGTAAAAAGCTGGCAATATACCTAATATATTTTTTATATAGTTAGTATGACAAACAAGCGGATGTTCTCACCTGATGGTAAGCGGTAGCCCTCTATACATGAACAGTAAATTGGACATTACGTTATCATGTAACACACATGATACCACTTATGCGTTGCCATTCCAGAGTCAACCAAGATGTCATGAGTCGTATCCTGTAATTTCACTGCTTTATTATTATTAATATTCACCCAACAACTGAAACACAGCTCACTTAATTATAATAGAACTAGCAGTGTCCCGCGGCGTTGCGTTGCTTTGCTTTTCTTACTCACTGACAAGTCTATATTATATATATAAGATATATATAATAACGCATATGCAAAAAGTATTTAAAAAAATGACATTTTTTTAACTTAATGCATTACAAACTAAAAATCAAACCTTTCCTCTTTATAAAAACAGTTTTTCTCTAGATTTGTTTGTAATATTGAAACTGATTTGATAATCATAATAATTATTATTTCACCTATACAAAACTACATTATCTACAAGTACCTCATATAAAAATAATAATTACTGTTTTAGTAACACACCTTAACTTTTTGATTTCAGGAATTGCTGAAACTAAAAGACACACAAGTTGAAGATTTAAGGTATGAAGCTGCTCGTCTAAGAAAGGCCCATGATGATCTTCTAGCTACTTATGAAGCAAAACTTGCCAAACTTGGGATACCAGCAGAAGAGCTTGGGTTCAAGTACGTTATTTCGAATTAGCGCCATCTATTGGTATGTTGTAGAATTATGAATGCGCGTGGGATTCTATTTGAATTTGTACCTAATTGTAGTAGCGACATCTACCGGTAACATTGAGTACTATTAAGTATTTTAATATAGCAAAGTTAAAATGTTTCAGAGTATTTGAATAGATGGCGCAAAATATAAATATGTGTATTGTAGAAATTACTGTTGTAACATTTTAAACTGTTGAATAATAATATTTATATTGAATTGTAAACTACATTTATGGGTTCTATGTGTAAATGGTATTTTCTATGAACAATAATACCATTGTTTAGTGTAGCCGTACCCTTTACATTCGCTCGTATTTTCGTCCGGCGAAGCTGTAAAAACCAACTGTAACTTCAGCCAATAGCATAATAGTATAAAAAAGAAAATCTCATGATCTGTCACAAGAATTTTTTTTAAGCAATTGGAATAGCAGGTATGCTCTATCCATTGCCATCATACATAAATTACACTACGGGCACGGGGGGATAGGAATTGTTAGTAATGGTGTCTAGTGCCTCATTACTCGCAATTAGGGTTCATTCCCGGGAATTCTCGGGTCGAGAATTCCCGGGAAATCCTTGGGTTCTGTTCCCGGGAAATCAAGCTCGAGAAAAGTCGAGAACTCGAGAAATCAAGTACCTATATAGAAATTAAATTGACGTTTGTTGTATTGCGTGGCGGCACAATAATACAAGATATTAAGGTTTTCTTTCATGTAGGTATATTGACGCGATATTTTAAGTTTTCCATTTTGTAAGCTGAGTGACCCAAAGAAAAAACCAAGCACATGTATTACGGTTTTCGAAAAACAAATGCATGAGTGAATAGCCGTATAAATTTGAAATTGAAATTTCTAACCAAAGAGGAGATATTTAAGATCAAAGTGGCCAGTACGACAAAACGCTAATTTCATATTTAAGAACCTAATATATTTCAGTATTTAAAAAAAATGGCTTATTCATAATATGTATAATGTTTTTAAATATACCTACTCAATAAAAGTTTTATAATTAATTTTATAGTTAAATTTTATAGTTAATATTTAACAAAAAATGCAGTGGTTTCCGTCTCAAATGAAACCACTGAGTTTTTTGACGTTATTGGAACAAAAATTAAACCAAACGTACGTAAATGTAAATTTCTCGACAACCCGAGAAGACCCGAGAAATTAACCTCGAGAATTCTCGAGACCCGAGAAATAGAAAAGCTCGAGAAATCATGAACCCTACTAGCAATGCACCATGTTAGTTTGATCTCCACGCGGTTCCTCCTGAAAACCATCGTGGTTAATTCTTGGTTATTTAATCACGATGGCCTCACTGACCTGACCTCATGCTCATTATAATCCTCCACTGGTACTCCGCCAGCGTAAACCGTTAGCGCAGGCGGGTGCACCATTCTATTATCATACATAAAAAAAACACACTACGTTGTTATTTATACTCATACGTTGTTATTCTAAAGCAGCGATCCTCAACATTTTATAAATCAAGGGCCAAAAACATTTTTATTCTGCACAGCGGGCCGCACCATCGATATTTTTATAAGGATTTTTTTATTTTATATTAAATGCACTTTTTATTGCTTAATTGTTGTCGCTATTGAAACTGGGCCTGTGCTATTAGCGGGCCGCAGAAAACACACCAGCGAGCCGCAAGCGGACCGCGGGCCGCGGGTTGAACACCCTTGTTCTAAAGGAATCGTATCTTGTGATTGCACTAGTACTGCTCATTTTATCATCATTCACTGCTGCCCTGCCAGCGTAAACTGTTACTGCTGGTGGAAGCAATATTTTATCATCCATTAAGACATACTGACCATATACATATATATATTTTGTTATTTTTTTTTTTTTTATTAATAATGAGATTGCGCTTGGTCTTACCTCATCTGTTGGTAAATGATGGCCAGGCCTAGGATGTAGCGCGCTTTCCCAGAAGATATCTATTGACCATAGAGTTGAAGAATCCGAATTAGTTTTATAATATTATTATACTTTATATATTATTAGTCAGTAATATATAGTATTTGTTAGTCTATAAGGTATTTATAATATGGGCTGGCCTGAAAAAAATGAATAAAATTTCGTGTTTTTCACAGGCCGTTGAAAGCAGTTGCCGTGGCTGGCATGTCTCCAGTCATCGGGCAAGGACCTGCAGGCTTAGTCACCAAAGATCCTTAAAATCAGCAAGTTGTATAAACCTAGGTACTCCACATAAATCATTAATACATATATGGTTATATATTTTGTAAAATAATCAATAAATTAATCAATGCATAAACATAAATGTTTTATCATTGTATAATCATTATATAATTGCACTAGCAGGCTCTTACCAGATTTGGTTGGGCAGGGAGGGAAACACGAGCGGTGAAGGTGTGTTTTGACGTACATCGTCAAGAGGTCCCGTAAACCTACAAAAAGTTTTTGAAAAAAAGAAAAAAATATTACCATTCCCCAATTATGGTACTACTTCTTAAGGTAGGATAAGTTAATTTGAATATGTTCTAGGTTTCTAAAACTAAGTATATATACATAGTTTTAGAAACCTGCCCTACGAGGCTGTCAACCCAGTTACCCGGTGGTTGTCGCCCCGGAGTCGATGCCGGGGCAAGGAAGCTCGCCCCGAGGTCCCAACCTTCACCCCCTACAGTCCAGTAAATTTTTAAATTAAACATGATGTGACCATTTTTGGTGCAATATATAAAAATAAATCCACTAATACGTGAATAATAATATTCAGAAAGAAATTTTGATTTTAGTTAGCGGGAAAGGGATGAAAATATTAAGAATTGGGTTGAAAAACTATGGAAATAACTCGATAACAGCAAGAAATATGTAAAAGTCTTTTAAATAAAAGTTGTAAAGAATTTTTTTACACAAAACAGGGTCTGTTCATTTAGCCACAAAAATATGGGTAAAATTTTAGTGGACTTTTAGGAAGGCGCAGAAGATCAGTGTCATGTCATGCTTCCTTGAATTGAAATGTTTCGTCCCATGTCAAAATGTCATAAAAATTTACAGCACCTCTAACTACTCTATATAGAATTATGACCGTGAGGATATTTCCAGCAAATTATCCAATCCGATTGATACGTATATTGAATACGAAATTACTGTATTAAATATGAATAAGACAAATGAGTGGCAAGTAGGGATGCTCGATGTTAGAAATATATGATGTTCATTGTCGATATCGATATTAAATATCGATTGTTCGATCTACGAGTTTTCTTATTCGACATCATCGTGATAAATACCGATGTTTATTACAATATAATGACAACACTGTAAAATAAACACTACGAGAATTATCTCGTATAGTTATTATTTATATTACTACTACTATATTAATAGTTGGCGTCATAGAAAAGAATACGAGCTACGAGTTTTCTTAATCATCATCAGTTAAAATCAACAGTCATGCTGATAAATATCGATATTTATGTTTACTACATTGATCATCCCTAGCGGCAAGTTCCGGGCAATACTAAGGATCGTTATAGTGTCATTAATAATTTTCAATTCGGCCCCAATGCCATTTATAGAATCGATTGATCAATCCAAGGACACACTAAATTCTTAAATTATAAAAAAGTACGAGTGAGTTCCACTCTTTGATTGGTTTTGTATATTTTGTTATGTAATAGTATGTAATATTATATTATCTGTGGTAATAGTATTGGCAAACATCGGGTGCTAAGAGGTAACGGTGGTCTATGAAGAACACCACACAACATATCTCACCATCCAACAAAAATTCAGCTTACACACTGCACAGTGGATAACTGAAATGAGTCTGATAGAGACACAACTGCATTGTATAAACCACAGGTAAGATAAATATAGTATATATAATATATATATATATATATATATTTTTATACTTCTATGGTGGCAAACAAGCACACGGTCCATCTGATGGTAAATGGTTACCGTAGCCTATGGACGAATGAAGCACCAGGGGTGTCACGTGCGCGTTGCCGACCCTTAAGAAACCTTAATAAAGTATACTATATTATATAACATATAATATAATATAGTATAGTATATATAAATATAGGATATATAGTATAAACTGTAACTCTGTATTCAACATTTTTTTTTAATTAATTTTAATGGAATGGTGCACCCGTCTGCGCTAACGGTATACGCTGACGGGGCACCAGTGGAGGATGATAAGATGAGCATGAGGTCAGGTCAGTTAGCTCATTGTTACAAATTCACCAAGAATTATTAAGATATTACGATGGTTTCCAGGGGGAACCGCATGGAAGTCAACCTGACATGGAACATTGTTAGCAATAAGATCATTAGTCCACATTACTAACAATCCTCTTTCCCCCCAGTTAGGTCAACAAATTCAGCGGGAATTTATCACGATGGGATACTAAACATCTGATATATTTTTTATTTAATAAATATGTAATAACATTGTAAACACTTAGACCGATATAAACAATCATGTCATGGAAAAAAATATTTACACCGAGGCATCGAACCGACTATCGGATGTTAAGCGGTGTGCTAAACCGCTAAACCACCGAGGCTCAGTGTTATCAGTGTTTCCATTATCAGACACAAGGCGGTTTTTACAGTCGGCAAAGTTTGAACTCACTTTTTGGCATAAGTCGAGGTCGAAAACACTCTTTCTGAGAAATTTTTTATATGCAAGTCGAATGGCAAACAAGATTATGGTAAGTGCTAACCGTCACCTATTTACATTAACAGCACTAACGATATCACTTTATTATGTATGAGGATACGGACGTGACTCACGTCATACAGGCGTCCATTGGCTATAGTGACCGTTTACCATCAATCTTTGATTGTCACCGCAATATCTCTGTCCGATCGATCTCCCTTCCAATTCAAACGGGGATCGAAATTACGACGGCCTGAGCCGAGGTTAGAACCCCTAGCGGTGCCCTTAAACTAAAGTGTAATACGTCAGGCGGGAGTTGTCCTACAGCCGCTCTATAAGTCCTTACGGGGTTTTTCAAGAAGGGTACATTAAGGTTTCTTAGGGGTCGGCAACGCGCACGCGACATTTCTGGTGTTTCAGGCGTCCATAGGCTACGGTAATCCATTTCCTATCAGATGTGCCGTATGCGTGTTTGCCACCATCGTAATATAAAAATAAAACCATCCATCCAGCCGTATGCCTGATTACCACTATCGTAGCATAAAAAAAGACGATCTGGCGTACACCAGCCGAATTACAAATCCCAAATCGATCCGCTCATACTAAATGTATGGGGAAACGGAAAGGTCAACATTACGTGAATAAATAACACCACACTTCGAAGCCAATAAGTGTACTTTATTCCTACTAACTTTTTTTTTATTTATTCTTATGTACAAAACAGTCATAAGGCAACAGTTCGAAATGAAAACGCATTACAGCGATCAATGAGTATTGCAAATATTTCGCATTGTTATAGCATGAATTTGCGGCACTAATGTTAAGTCTGTTACACGCGTATTATATATATAATATAATATATAAAACATTAAACATACTTCATAATCAATTAATACATGTAAATATAACATATGTTTCATTAAAATCATTAAAGGTCATTAATAAATAACATATATAAAATCTTGTAAAAGTGTTCTTTTTTTAAATAATATTTATATAACCATTCGCTCCTTAACAATTACTTCATTAGTTTATTGTGAACAAGAGTAATAATATATATAAATTTATGAATTACCACCAATTATCTATTTAATAATACTTAATTTAAAATTATAAAACATTTAAATTGATATATTGTATTAATATGGTGCATTAAATAATATAAGAAAGCGTAATATACGGTATTCTTAACTTTTCAGTTACATAATAAAAGCTAAATTTAATATTGCAGATTACTTGTAATAATGTGACATTTATTATTAAATTATATTAATAATATATAATTTAATAATAAATATAATTAATAATAGTAAAGAAAATGTATAATTTTTAGATTAAATTAATATAAATAGGTATTGCATGCGCGTGTGTAACTAGAACACATTTTTTAATTAAGATTGCTTAGAAATCTTAACACTAAATCATTTACAAATTGTAATGAAAGGTTAAAATTAGCAATTCACATCATTCTACACACTACTTGTGGACTCGATGATTTTAATGGCACACAACTTATGCCTTATAAAAATATCAACCAATACATTTTTACAGGTTATTTTTTATATACAATCTCAACATCAAGAATTTGAAGCAACAATTTTTAGTTGATGTTTGATTTTAATTTGATTAAAGCTTAATAATAAAGTAATTTTTTGTTAAAACAATATATTACTGTTTATTGATAAATGGATTAAGTATGTGTTTATTTCTATTACAGTGTACTACTGCAATAGAAACTTGAATTTAATAAACATATATAATTTTAATATATATAAAGATCTATAGCGCATATTAAGCAGTAGTCTAAGTATTTATTGTATTACAATTTTCTCTTTATTTCTACTAAAAAATAATTATATATATATAGGTAAAATATTATTTGAGAGCGTTTATCAATTCAAATATTATGCAAATTATTTTTTAATAATTCCAATAGCTCGCCAAATATTTTAGCTAACTCTTCGATTCCATTCATTATTTCTTCACTTTATAATAATATTTATTTACTTCATTGTTATTTAAAAACAACAATAATAATGTTTATTTTCATATCGAATGCATCATTACGTTTTTATAATATTATACATCACGTTATTGAATGTGGAATGTTGTAATTCACATTTTATATCTACATTCACGCTTGTTCACAAATTAAATACTATTGCATATTTTCATTAATTTATCATTAAATAAATATAATAATATCAACGATATAAGCATTATAATTACATATTTATTTACCGCAACGACAATAATAATCTGGATGTCATTGTTACTACATTAAAACCCTAATTTACACAACCAAAATTCAGACATTTACAGGGTTAACGTAATACAATTAACATTTAGAAATAATAATTTGACATTAAATTACGTTGATATATTAATGAATTGCTTTGTCACTTAATACTAAAGCTATTAAAGATATTTTGTTTATGTAACCTAATTAAACGCTCGAACATATAATTTCAACATTATTATTTAGTGAGTTTTGTGTAAACAATGTATTTTAATAAGAAATAGTAAGATAGTGAAATTACTACTAATGCACCTTTTACAATCCCAAATACAAGTTATAAAGAATACAACGATATTGAAACCCTGAGATGATTAATGAAATTAAATTGCGAGAATGTATGCTTCATTGGGATCTACTTCCCGAGAATCAACGTTTCTCTTGTGCAGTTATAGCAGACAGAAGCATGAGTTCTCGTTATTTGTTAATATTTTTTTCAACTGTTCACACTAAATCGATCGATGATGTGATTTGTATATTGTTTTAGATTTCAATTAATAGTAAAAATCTCGGAACAGAATGTTCTATTTCATGAATAGATAATTATTATTGGGTTTCAATTTGGTATATCATATCATACATTAACGTAAAAATATAAATTATTAAATTATTGTAAAAAGTTACTACAACGTCTTATGGACTCAATAGTTTTTGAGGAAAGGTTAAATTCCCGAACGTCTGAAATTACGATGGTCTGAGTCGAGGTTAGCATCCTGCCTTCTGACTAAAATCGTATTCGTCATGCAGAAAATGCCTCCTTCCGCGGGTTTGGAGGGTCATCTGCGCTCACCCCCAATCGTTCGGTGAAGCTATAAAGGCCAGCTGCGGCTAACAGCTTTAGACTAGTTCGAAAAAAATATGTTAAATCGTAAGGATGTTATATGAATAATATGAATTCCTTTAAACATATTTTTTCAACATAGGTACTCGTAATTTCAAATTAATAATAAAAGAAGTGGCTTTTCTTGTTACTTAATTATCTACAAGTTTTTAAATTTTTATTCTAATTATGTGCGTAGACTTTAGCATTAAATAGCTAATTATTAAACTCCCAGTCTAAGTGGTTGATAAATATTTTAGCATTTTTATTCTTCTTTATAACAATTATAATTTTGGAATATAAATTAACATACATACATATATTTAAGATAAAAAATTTACAAGTAACAAATATTGAATAAAAACTTTCCATTTAAATATTTACAAAACTTGGAACCTATAGTAATGGTCCCGAAGTTAACAAAAGAGCAAAACTATATGAAACTACAATTTGAATAACACGACTCCGCTAACTATATTTAAATCTAGCATTTATGCAATATTCACAAGCCTTTTTGATCTGTAGGTATATGACGAAATTAAAGGCAATAAAAATTCACGTAATTCAATAATTACATTTAAAAAAGTAATCAACAACAACTCACGCAATATAAGCTATTTTTAAAAATGTCATTATAATATTTAAAACTCATATTCGAAACTCATATTGTTAAATTATATTCATAACTCATATTGTTAAAATTATTGATTAGACAACTTTCTATTTCGGTATGTCGGTTCGGATCGGTGTGGACAATAACTATCGATGAATTTTTAAATAGCTCAGGCATGGGACGGAAGAATCGATACCGCCTACATAAGGATATAAATATAAACGCGTTTCCATACAAATTCATACAATTGCCTTCTGAATAGTTTTGCCTTACTTGCGAGTTATATGATTGGGCGGTTTCGAACACTAAAATAAGGTTTGTGGTTATCCAAATAAAAATGGACCTTGTTACTAAATGATTTATGTACTATTTTTTACTAATTACTATTCGCATGTATATTGGCAGGTTTTTAACGTGTTGTACAGAACATAATAGTTTTATTTTGGGATAAAAAATTCACGACTACTGTAGTCAGTATTAATATTCTAATTTGATGCAAATTTCGAATCCATTTTAATTTAGATTATCACAATTAGTATTATAAAATTGTGACTTTTACATTCATAATTAAAGTTATACATTATTTTAAGCCTTACACGATAAGTGAAACCAAACAATTATTTTGTAGCTTCAATAACATTTGTATAGGAAAAACAGTGCCCAATGAATACAACGATACGCAGATAAATACACATTACTTTGCGTTTGTGTATCAAATAATATAATTAAAGCTCACTAACTTTAAGGCTTAGTCTAAAAATGTAGTATTTGATATTACGTAATAAACATTTATATTAATAACAAAATAACATTACATATTCAAATAATATTAATGAATTATACTGATAATGATTTATATAGTTTATAATAAATTATATATTTATCGATGTATTTAAATATTTGTCGATATTTTTCTTCTCTATATTTTTGCAATCTAATTTATTTTAAATATAACTCATTAATATATCTATATCTTCTATAATCAGCATTATTAATTAGGATAACATAAATATTAATCAGTAAATTTAATTATTAATTAATGAAGAAATTAATATATACTTTTAAATAAATAGAGTAAATGAATTTGTTCATTATGGAGGTATCAGCACGCGTGCAATTTGACACACAGTAGCATACGAGCATAAAATCTTAAAACGTATTTCCTATTGAAGATAAAATTCTTTAATTTCTAATATGATTTATTTAATCGTGATAATAATTTCATTTGTATTTTTACTCGAGCTTGAGCAATACGAAATATAATTAATTTTCTATTTTAAAAGTAATATTATAATGAAAATACCAATTAAATATATTTTAATGAATGACACTGTAAATGTTTTATGAACACGTTTTATTTATTACTTAATTAATAATACATTTTATATTATTTTATTTATTTAAGTTCAATTACGTATGTCAATTTAGTATGGAATATTGCTTGATTTGAAATTATTACCACGACATATTTCAATACATATAATTTTTATTTCACAACGCGTTATAAAAAATCTCTTTCGCTTATATCCGTCATAATATCCGAACGTCTTTTCATTAAGCTATCCCCTTTACACTCGTCTCCACTCCTATAGGAGTAAACGAGTGAGATATACATAATATTGTATGTTTGTACAAAATCACAATCGACCACTTATTATTCTGCCTAAATTGTTTCTTTTTCATATAAATTCACCTTAACTCGTGGTACACTCTATAACCGTAACCTTCAGGTAACTTCAGAACTCTTCAGGAATCCTGTCATCTGTAAAATAAAAAATAATTTCTAATGTTGTTCTATGAATCCCACAAATATATTCACGACAGTAAATTTGGATGAGATAGTCAGAGACCTTAATAACTGTGAAGAACGCAATATTTGGCATGCCTATATGGGGCGAGCCAACCTGCATCCCTCGGATTTATTTAGTATGTTATAGGTGTACTACATTACCGAAGATTAATCAAAAATTTTAATTCGTGCTTAAAGTGTTTTACATTATGTTATTGCTGTCATATAATAACATAGTTCAATCTAATAACAAATATTTAAAAGGTATTTTAAATGGTAATATTTTCATATAACTGCAATACCAAACAGTCAGAAATATAACCTGAAGTAGAGTGGTAATTTTTTATCTATAGAAATGAAAAGAAGTAATCCAAATCATATATAAAAAAGAATTAAGACACTAATTACTAAATTTAGATCTAAAATATTAATATAAATTTTCTAAAAGTTAATCCAACTTTATAAGCATACCAAATGAAATAATCAAGCAATCTAAGCAAAATTTTCAACATGGAATATATAAAAATAGTATAAATAATAATAATAATATATATTTACATATATAAACATAAATAAATTTTTTTATCATTTGGCTATATACTAGCGCTTTGTACGAATTATCTAAGAGCTTGATTTTTTTTTTCGGTGCATGGAAGTGTAAAATTAACGCGTGTATACAAAATTGAGCATTAAGTCCATAGGAATAAGGAAGCCAAAGCTTTGGAACGTACCTCTATTGTGTGGTATTTATTGTTGTTAAGTTTCAGGTTAGGCGTTCACGAAGGATGACTTGGTCCTATAACATTAGATAAATTATGTGAGCATTTGAAATAGGTGGATGTGGTACCCTAAACTCTACCTTAAGGGAGTCTGTAATAAAGACTAGAATCGCTTGAGTTTAAAATTCAAACAATATTTTACCCACTCTATCGGAAATATCTACCTACTCGTATGTGTATATCTGTGATATGATATTTATATCAACGACCAATCAATAAGTGACCTAAAAGTGTCTTCTTTTAGGTCGCATATTGATTGGTCATTTATAATTCTAGGGTTCTTAGTAAGGAAGTTCGGTAACAATTAATTTCAATATCCTGTGAAACACTAAAAGTGTATTAATAAAAGTTCATATAGAATATACAGTATGCCTGATTTCCTCTTATTAACCAGTGGGTTGTATATTCAATATTTTTTCTTTTGAGTGTTTAATTATTATTTAGAATTAGTGCTAATTGGTAGTTTGTATTCACACACTTAAACTTAAAAATGTAAAGTAAGAAAAAAATTATTTAAAATGACAACACGCAAATTTCTTGCTCGTTCTTCTTGTGATGAGACAGCATTTCGAATGTGCGGTAGATTAAAAAAAATGTGATGACTGTTCAAAACTGCTTCAATGTAAGTTTATTTGAAAAAAAAGTATTTTTTTTGATACAATTATTTATATTAATTACTATGGTCATCTTCTCGTCTCAATTTGTATTTAATTTAAAAAAATATCCACCCATAAGTAAATTAATAACTGTAAGCTGAGAACAAATAATTGATATTGTTTTTAGAAATAGATTTAATGTTATATTTTATCTATCTCTGTCATATCCACCAATGAGAAATTTAGTATTTACATTTACGTAATAGCAGGTCTTTAAGAGTACTTCACTGCGTGGAAAGTTGTAGGGAATTTTAAGTACTTACTTAACACAGGTCCATTACGTGTGCTTACATAGTGATAGCTCGCAATGTGAAGTATAAAGTTATCATAAAACTCCATTAAATATTTAAGTAACTTTTATGTAATAAGTTAATGTTTAATATATTATAAATATATTAAATAGTTATTAATATTTATAAATGAAATATTTATAATTAACCTGACTGCGACCAAGCCACTCGCTCAGTATTATATAAATTAAAATTTAAATAATTAATTAATACTATATTACCGCCGTTTATGAAATCGGAGATAATAGATTTGTAGATTAAACATAATTTGTATTTAAAAATCTCATTTAATAATTTTAATTCAATAAAATAATATTTATTAAATAAGAATTATCAACTAGAAATAATTATTATTTAAAGAAGATAACACAATGACAATGAATACACATATATTATATCTACACATGCAAACATATTATTTATTTTTCAACTGAATAATATCATATATACTAACCAAATATATTACATGCAAATTAGTAACACTGAATCTACTTACCCAGATAAAGAAGCAGAGTTTGAAATTGGCGGACTGTTGGATTCAAAACCTTCTTTTGAATTCTCATTTGCTAACTGCATTTTCAATTGATGCCCAAACCGTGCTAGATCCTCTCTGAATGTATCAGAGCCAGGAGTTGTTGGCTTCTCATCATCTCCCGTAGCCATTGCTTCAGCATCATTCTTCAACGGCTCCTGTTCAGATTCCTCCTCAGTATTGTATATCTTAAAGTACGCAAACGTTAAATATATCACCGATATTATGAAAGACGGTATTGGTATAGCCATCGCGTACACCAGATTCAGCGTGTTCTGCCACATATCCAATTCGGTTATCACCAAACCGGGGTCCACCCTGCTGTAGTAGCAAGTATAGTTTGTGCCTAAGGGTCTGTACTTCCCATAGAAAATCGTGCAATTCAAAATGGGTGGGTAACCACACCCTTTCACGTTTGGGAAGAGGCGAGCACCCGTGAAGTACCATTCTGAGTCGTTCCCCTGAAGACCTGTGGGTAACACGTCCGGCAAATCTTGATCTTCAGGCATATCTGGGTATGATTTGTCGGCTGAAGATTCGTAATTCTCGTACTCGTAATCCTTTCTCAGAGCTCTTTCTACCCGCACCAAATTTTCAACGTCAGTCGCTGTTATATTAGGATAATCGCCAAGTTTGTAGTTCACTCGTATTTGGGTGCATTCAAATAGATCCTTGGTGCAACCTTCTCTGCAGGATGCCCACGAACAGTTGCTTGCACCTACCAAATGTTTTACTTGTGCGGTCACACATAATGCTGCTACAGGATCGAATTGCATGAATATTGTCGTGAACGCTGGCTCTATCACAAATGGTACTAAGAATAAGAAAGCGAAAAGGCTAAATGTGGCGAGGAGTACAAAACTGGCTGTGGTATAGAATAGTAGTTTCTCTTGGAAGGTTGGAGGTATAACTTCTTCATCAGCCATGGTGGCGTGGGGTCGCTAGTAGCGATCATAGCGCTTGTTTCAGCTAGGCTGTGTCATTTCATGCATATGATCATGTCAATCGTCAATCTGTCACACTTGTTGAGCTATGTCTGTTGTTTTTCACGCACGTTTAATTGCATTGTTCTATAAATTTAAATGGGCTTTAATATGGGCTGGTTTACTTTATTATTTTGTCTAAAGCTATCTGGTCTCCCCGTGTATCTGAAAGTGAATTGGACCTTAAAGACCATTATAGGCTTAACACCGACATGGTATCTGGAGCCTTATATGGCGACGTACTTCTAAATGCATTACAATAGCCCACCACGTAAGCGTATTGTAGAATGCAAGTAAGGCAGAATAATGCCAAACCTAAAAAAAAGGCAGGCAACATGTCGATTTTTCTTACTCAAATGGCCTCGTTACGTGTCAATTTATTAGTACCTGACCATTCAGACATATAATACCTACACGGTACAAAATTGCGTGGATTCCTTATCTTTAATCGCAGGATTAATCTGAGTTTTAATGATCCTTAGAATAATCACATTCTATTTATTCGCAATCTAAACGTTGCTTATAGTTGACCCATAATTATGAGCATTGTAACACTGTTTAAATACATATAAATAAAATAGGAGTGTCTGTTTGTAATATTGAAATTAATGTTTTTTACTACATGCATATGAATTTAAATACAGTACTTACGTATGTACTTACACCAAAATAACATTTTTTACTATTTTTGTCTGTCTGTCTGTCAGTTTGTTCCGGCTAATCTCTGAAATGGCTGTACCGATTTTGACGGGACTTTTATTGGAAGGTAGCTGATGTAATAAGGAGTAACTTAGGCTACTTATATTTTAGAAAAATAAAGTTAAATTCCACGCGGACGAAGTCGCGGGAACAGCTAGTTATAAATAAAACGTGTTAAGATCCTGTCATTCCTATCATCCCCCACTGGTGCCCTGCCAGCGTAAACCGTTGGCGCAGGCAGGTGCACCATTCCATTATCATCCATAAAAAAAAAAGATCCTGTCATTTTGGTAATAATAATTTTTTTTTGCAAACTATTTCACCACAGTTGGCCTTTACAGCTTCACCAAACGATAGGGGGCGAGTGCGGATGGCACTCCACGATGCGGAAGGACTTTTGGAGTGGCTGAAGATCAACTCCTGCTTGAGGGGTACGACTTTAATCTAAGGTCGTAATTTCGATTCCCCGTTTGAACTGGACCTATCGATCAGAGGGAAATAATGTCTACCTAAAACTAAACAATGACTACGTCAAAGATAAAAATATGACCAAAAATGAATAAACTCTTCATATACCCTTCTAATGTATGTTCAGCAAGAGTTTTCCTTAACAAATATGGTAATGATTTTCAGTTTATATCCGGCATTCCGGAGTCGATTTTACGAGAAGTGTTTCCGATATAAATAATTTTGCCCCGAACATTACCAAATGTATTTGAAAGTTGTTTCCCTATATATTGTAGGTAAGATATACTAATATTACCCGCAACTTTGTGGAATTTATAACATCATTATATTTATCCGTTGGTTATAAATAACGTCTATGTCTGTATGTGTATTTAAGGAGGAAAATGTTTATTAGAAAAAACGGGGGAGCATATGCAGTCTATGTAAGAGTGGTATTCCAATAAGAAAGAAAGAAAGAAAGAAAGAAAGAAAGAAAGAAAGAAAGAAAGAAAAATATTTCATTCAGTGCAATGTAAAAAATACAATAAGATATTATTGGTTAATTATTTAAGTAATTATGTATATAAAATGGGATGTATAGTAATAAATTAATATATATTATTCATTGCTATCAAATTGTATTATTCTATATTCTATTATACATAATAACAAACAAATATATAATATTAACAATTTTTTTATACAAATTGTAATAAATATGAGTTTGATTTAGCACAGAACGCAACCAGAATAAAAACTTATGCGCTGATCTAATTAGAAAATCTATCAAATTGTAACTTTCACTAAACATACTAGTGTGTTATGTCTGAAATTATATATAATTATATTTATATATAGAAAATGGAAGAAAATTCGAAATCAAAGAGCATGCTGAATGCATCTGCATCATCAGTCCACTGCAGTTTACTGCTGGAACTATGCATCGTGAAAGACAAAGCACGTCGCAGATGCACGTGCACGTGTTATAATTTTTTATTTTCGAAAGAATATCTAAATTTGTAATATGAAATTAATTTTAATAAATTAATTGTTATATTAGTAAAGAACTTTATTGCACTGAGTGATATTTTAAATTATGACTCATAGTAATAACAGAAGTTCTTTAATTTATTGTTTCTCATAAATTAAAAAAAAACAATAGATATAAATTACCTCATTTCAGAAATCTTTATGCAATAAATAATAGATTATTCAAATAATAGTCTCAAATAATATATATTCAAACAAGCCGTGCCCGCGTGGAAAAGTAATCTTGACTAAATAAAGAATAAAAATTAATAATCTAACCCAAAAAAGCCAAAAAAAGTGCCATCATTCTAACTTAAAAAATGACGATACTTTCATGCAATCTCGCATCTCCCCTTACAACCACTTACAACCCTTTTTTCACATTAAACGTACCCCATGTTCTTCCCTCAAGGTATAGATTATCTGTGTGCCAAATGTTATTTAAATCGGTTTAGTAGTTTTGGCGTGAAAGCGAAACAGACAGACAGACAGAGTTACTTTCGAATGTATAATATTATATATGTATTAGTAAGGAAGTAAGAATAATAGTAGTCATATTTTAATAATTCATTGTTCATTTAATTATAATAGATTTTAATTATAAAATCCTTTATATTATTTAACAACAAGAGGCAACAGGTTATCCAAAAATTTCGTCATTTAATATTAATTGTAAATTTTTGTTGATATTATTTTCATAGCTCAAGTTCCGACCAAGAATTACCGTCCCCGAGGGCACCTGGGTAGTTTTCATGATTTACGGCTATCCTGTCCAAATATAGGGATGTTTACCCGGATTATTAGAAGGTTTATAATATTTTTATAACTTTACAAGAATTATTTTTTAAATAACTGAAAGAGAAGTGCAAATAGCTGATGGGCAATGTGATTTTTTAACCAACCAGCCAACCATCTCCGACATAATAATAGTAATATAATAATTTCATTGTAATTTATCTATACTAACATTATAATGAGGAAAGATTTATATTTTTGTGTGTATGTATGTTTGTAATGAATAAACTCAAAAACTACTTTGCCGATTTCAAAAATTGTTTCACCATTAGAAAGCTATATTCACCGTGAGTAACATAGGCTATATTTATTGGTAGAAAAGATCAGGGATCTTTACTAAAACTTTAGTAACGTAACTCAAGGTGTAAAAAATGGTATAAAATATCTTTCGGCGCGTGCGCTGCGGAAACTATTGGTGATAGAACAAAAGTATGTTTTACAATATTGAAGAGAATATACAAAAAACTTCGCTAATTTATTAAATAAGAAATTTATTCAGCTTTATACTTGTTATTTTTATAATTGTAATGAATTTAATTTAAAAGAAGTGTCTGTATTAAAAAAATATGACATTGACAGAAACTGGAAGTGTGAACTGGAACAGCAGTGGACGTCTTCCGGGCTGCGATAATGATGATGATGATGATCTATACATATATAACCTACATTTTTTTTTTAACTATTTATTTAAAATCGTTATTGTAGGAATTATAAATTTATAATCCTACAATTTAATACTTATTCATGTAAATTTGTAGTGATAAGTATATTATAGGTACAGGAGCCAACAGAATATCAGGGCTGCAGATGTATCTGTATGCTGAGCTGGCTGTCTATTTACCTTTGCGGTAAGGTTACCTATATTTCTTTTATTAATTCACTAGCTACTAGCCCCGACTTCAAAAGGGTGTACATGTATTATATATATAAATCTTCCTCTAGAATCATTCAATCTATTAAAAAAACCGCTTTAAAATCCGTTGCGTAGTTTTAAAGATTTAAGCATACATAGGGACAGACAGCGACAGCGACTTTAATATAATTTCATATTTTTTCCTGTAACTCATATATGTTACTAGCTGTCCCGGCAAACGTTGTTTTGTCTTTAAATAAAAACAAAAAAATTAGGGGTGGACTACCCCTAACATTTAGGGGGATGAAAAATGGATGTTGGCCGAGTCTCAGACCTACTCAATACGCTCACAAAATTTCATGAGAATCGGTCAAGCCGTTTCGGCGGAGTATGGGAACGAAAACTGTGACACGAGAATTTTATATATCAGATATGTCTGTAATTGGTTAATAAAGAATTTACTTATCTATATATAAATTAAGATTCCTATAATCTTTTGAGTTTATTGATCCTACAAAACATACAAATCTCATATATATGTATGTAATATGTGTATATATAAATAATAATAATAATAATCTCAGGACAATACACACAGCGCCATCTAGACCCAAGTTAAGCTAGCTAAAGCTTGTGTTATGGGTACTAGATAACTGATACAAATAAATAAATATTTTTTTTTCGTAAATTCATACATATTGTACATAAAAAAACCCAGATCGATACAAACAATCATACTCATGAATACAAATGTTTGTGCTATGCGAAGAATCGAAATAGAGACCATCGGTCGTAAAGCGGTGTGCTAGACCGCTAGACCACCAAGGTCGTCGTTCATAAATATGTATATATATAATTAACAGAGAAACATAATTAGTCCTAAGAAAACTTCTATATCAAATCACAGCTGAAGTCAACATATTAAGAAAACAATATCAGTGAAACAAATAAAGGAAAAAAAGTCCCTTTTTAAAGGTTAACATTATCAGAGCATAGACTGTCTGATGAAGGCAATGCCGCGGTATGCAGCTAGCAGTAATATAGATACTACACGTTGAAATCTCCGAAGCATCTTCAAATAAAGGCGTCTGAATGCCACTAAACTCTCTAGATGGGGATGTTTGGCCTCGTAAAGATCGTAATAAGGGTTAAATGTTATAGTCAAGACTCAACACTATTAGACAAATATAGATAAAGATTGGCCTTAATTTGTGGGAAAACTAGATTTACCCGCGGTTTTGCTCGTCTTAATGTTGTTATTGAAGATTTTGACAAACAATCTCATTTTACCACACGTAGATAGTACCGCGGCATACAGCTAGTCAGTAATATAGATACTACA